ATTAAGAAGGTGGGATTTAATTTCCTTTAAAAAACCTCACTCAGTTTACCTTCATCGAATGCTGAACTCATGAGATAGCCATATCCCACGAGATTGATACGGCCCTCCACCTATTTTCTTATTAATGCGTTATCTATGTCACCTTTGGGGATTTAGGTTTCACAGGCGATTACTCAGAGTACTTCAGGGATCACTAACTAGTAGGAATCACTGGAGATAACAAGATTCCAACACGAGTGGCACTTCCTGGAGAACCTCCTGAACAGCTCAAGCTAACTGAAGAAGGGCAGTAGTGCGTCCCTCTAGGAGGTAGATAAGGTTTAGTGAATACAAGTTAATCCCACATACAAGGTAACCCTATTTTCCCCTCTGTAAGTCCCCTGACTCATCATTCTTTGAAACTGTGTTTTCCACCCAAAATTGAAAAAGATAATCTCCCGTCTGGAATACTGTCTACTGGCTGAGTGTTTTAAAAGAAGCTTCGGAATATACATTAGGAGGTTCAAATTGATATAAAATACTATAGTACAGGGAACCTTAGAGAAACGGAGGTAAAGCAGGATATCTTGTTCTCCAGAAAAGCAAAAATCGCAATACATAAGAGACCTTATGTAATAAATATTCGAAGCGCAGACTCCGAAGTACCCTCCTTATTGCGGAAAAATCTTCAATTAACGACTATGGTATTTTGAAAGTAGCAATTCACACTTTTACTTACAAAAGCTCAATTTCATGACGGTTCATTCACAAAGATTAAAGAAGCGAAGTTGACTGCTCACTTTCTGGAATAGGGGGTAGTTTTAAAACAAATGGCCAGCTGGTCTCAATCACCGAAGCGCCGGTTAAGCTGAGAAAGTTAAATGCCTAGCCAATATAAAAAAACCGAGGGCTGTAATGACTTAAAATTAAACAAAGTATTTCTTTAATAAATGTTAACTAAAATCTTAATATACAAAACGCTTTTTGACAAGCAAAGAGTCAGGGAGCACATATGGCCATCTATAACACCTCAGTGTTTAAAAATTCGTTTCCAACCATTAAAAAATAGGCCCAGGTTATTTTATATACGAGACGAAACGCTCAATTATAATACTTGCACTTTATGCTGGTCTGTGGGCCATGGTACTTCCCCGGACGCGCATATAGATCACGCAATCTCCTCCAGGTAAGATGCAGTAGAATATCAAGCGCACCTTCCTGTTCACTCTTTTATGCAGTTAAACGATACCACCGAGCCAACTGCAAAGAGCCCATGGGAGTCGAGAGAGTCACTGCACAAGCAGCAAGCATCGGACTAGCCTGCCTATTCGTGCAAAAACAGAAACAGTATCGTGGCCCTATCGCAGTAAAAAACATAATACTGCATGAATGACTTAAATACTCATTTCATATCTATGATCAATTTTTGCCATTGACTGGATAGTGGAAAATATTGAGCAGATTATTAATCCAACAAGGGCCCAGGCCCTTGATATAAGGGATGTTTGTTATTGAACACCTTTCTGACAAGAGCATCTGTTGAGTTCATTTCTCTGTAAAAGCGATTCGATGAAAATCAATATGTATTATATCAAAAGATCGTTGATCGTAGGAAATAATAAAATTTAATATAGTTATATTATTAATAATACAAGAAAATATTGTGATGCATAATAAATACATTAAAACAATAAAGTTAAACGTTACTCGCTTTACCTTTTTGAGCTGGTTGAATTATATGTTTCCTATTAAATCTCTAGGCCATTTGAAACTTGATTTCTTTATGTGAGAAGGTGGGAACCGAGCTGGCGGTTCATCTTATGTTAGGTAAAAATAAATAGTTTTCTCTTTCTTGTATCCCACATCTTTGTGGAACATGTTGGATCTATATAGGAATACAAGACATAGAAAATTTAAATTTAAAATCGCCTTCCAAATAACACATTTGTTTTTATGAAAAATCAGCCGTAGCACTAAGCTACAACGTAAATGGTATAACTCATAAACCTCTTGCCTTTGTGTTCCCCTCTCTGATGTCCTTTTACACTCTCTGATTCAAAAATATAACAGATATTAAAATATAAGCAATGTTTTAATAAGAGATTTAATAAAATCCGGGGTAAGTTATAACATGTTACAACAAACCCCAAAATTTTGTTAGTTAAACTCCATAGGATAATTCTATATTTAAAACAATAATTATTTAATCATGTTCTTAACAACCGTTGCCAGGTAATAAAGCTCTTGCACATACGGACTTACTGCGCCGCGCCGTCTGGCAAGAAACTGGTAATAATACCATTCTGCCCCATAGTATAAGTAAGAAATTGAGTTAAAGAAATACTTTACTAATAAATAATTTCCCAGTGAAAGTACCCCGTTACTACTTACCCTGTTACGCAAGCCCCTCGCTTCCCTACTGTATGTATTTAATGACACATAATTCAATTATTAATGTTCTTTAAAATTTCATATTTAACCCCACTTTTAAATTGCTTTATCCCAAGTTGTTATTGGTTAAAGCTTTCTTGGTGCAGCTAGTACACTATGTGCATAATTGAAAATTGTAGCTAGTATATTTTCGTAGGCGCCTTAATTTTATTGTAAATACAGCGGTGTATCACTTCAAGAGAGAGCCCTTTCAAAATTCTGGATGATATGAATCCCATACAGACTTTCCCTTCGAAGCTAAATATTTAAAGTTTCTTTGTCTTGGCTTGTTTTTTTAATATTTAATGTCTCCCTGATTTTGTCCATAGAGATCCGGTAAATGGATAACAACTAAGTTGGTCTACATACCATGATGAAGCCGTCAGTGCTACAACAAAAGCGAACAAGGTGTTGTGTGCGTGAACATTCATTTGTTACCTTATTTATTAGACATTAATTTTCCCTTAACAAAAAGTTATCCTCTACATACTAAAGTAACAGGCGCCGATCTGGAGTTTAGGTTTTCTAAGATTATCATCAAACTTACTTTGTAAAAAAAGTAAAAATAAAAAAACTGCACACGCAGTGCAGCACCGTACCCCTGATAGAAGTGAAACTTCATGAGTTACAGCGATAAATATTAATAACAAACCGCATGGTTCCTCATCTGAATACCAGAAGTAAAACCTATCCAAACAATTCCTCGGAACACTCCCCGTGATAAATGCGGTAGAATAGGCAGTGATCCAACATCTCTACGCAGGGCCAAAGGAACAAGCCGATGGGAAAGACTTTGTTCGTCGATAACTCTAGCCGTTTTATTTTGATATTTTATTAAAAAATATTAAGCTCCAGTATGAAAGGGTCAGTAAACACAGTTTCCTGAACATTTTTAAGAGTTAATTCATTTTTTTCAGCATTTAAGATTTTGTTTTTTTTTTTTCGCCATAGCTACAATTCAAACCTACGCTTTCCGGGAAACCACTAAGCCGCTAAGCTATACGGAAGCCGTATATTTTTATTACAAGTTGGTAATGCTTAGCGCCATATTATATTCTTGTTCCTTTGCAGCAAATACATTTTCTCAAATGATATTTTACAGTGACTTTGAAAACTAGTTAAAAAACTAAAAATAGAGATAACGTACATCTCAAATATTTAGAATTCTGGCAGCGAAAAAAAATTAAATGCTCACTTTCTACAGGGGTTCCTATTATAGGATCTCCTGTTATAGGAAACCCTGTAGAAAATGAGACGGGGGTGTGAAATTCAACCCTAATCTCACGAAGACTAAAGTTTTCACATAATAAAACGCAACATTCTTCGTCTGAAATTTTTCGTATACAACTTACGACTTACGTAAAATACTAGTTGGTTGCACTACTTATTAGAAAGTGTAACTATATAATGTATAATAAAAATGAGAACTGGACAACGGTTATATTCCTGACCGTTATGGACATAGTTCATTTTTACCCGGTATCCATATTTTATAAGCAAGATCCCTGTGACTATTAATGTTATCGCACTGTTGTTTTTAGCAGAACATAGCGACGGTTATATACATTGATAGTCTAAAAAGCGAAAAATGACGAAAGCTCTTTTCCTTTTTTTCATAAACTTTTTTACAAGTAGTTTAATAGTTATAATTTCTAATGGTGCATCATACTTATTTTTTTACATTTTAAACTCATTTGTCCAATTATAAAACTTGTAAAGTCATATAATTAGACAATATATGTTATGGTTAACGGGCTCCAACGTTTTAATTTAAACTCAGTGTACTGTTTCAGTTCCATATTGTTTTCGTTACGTCCGATTAACCCACATTGTGATTGTGGTACCAGCTCCTGACGTCACGTTACGTCCTCGATTTTTCTATCAAGCGAGGGGCGTCGGGTCAGATCGGCCGCCGCCGGTTCGCAATTGTTTCGCGCATGCGCGAAAATTGCGCCAATTTCACTGGCAGCGGCCTCTACCGGTGCATCCAGTTCTCTGTTGCCTCACAGGAGGGATGTTGTGTCGCGAGAGGCTGCACCTCACGATATATGTCGAAAATTCGAAAATGGATTAGTTTTCAAATGTAGAGTAACGCACACAGACACAAATCGCTTCCGCGTGTTGATTTAGCGTTGATATGGACCACAGTGGGGTGTGTATAATTTCAGTTTACAGTGATCGCGGGTACAATACTTCGAGTATTAAGGGATTGAATTGGAGGGATTTAAAGAAACAAGTGTAGACGTTTAGGTTATGTTGCAGTGCTTGCCGCGGTCTCGTTATGCCTATGCCAGGATAACCTTGACACGTTTTCCCGCGCTAGCGTGCCAACCTTGTTTTTGTTGCACCCTTTCTCTTGACACTTGCCGCAAACGTGGCTACTTCGTTCAACCTTTTTAACGACTACTTATTTGAATCCGTGTTGACGAAATAAAATTAAGGGCTTAAAAGTTAATTGTAGACTGGTCTTCAAATCGTTCAAACATGATACATATAAGATTTAGATTTAGCGGTAGATTATCTTAAGCCTAAGTAAAGGTTTGCTAATTGACGATCTAATTATCAACAAAAATGATACCTTGGTGACACGTATGGAGAAGAATAAAGCTACAAAAATGAATGCTGCAAAAGGTGAGGCATAATGATTATATATTATTAATAATATTATTTAATATAACCAAAACCATAAGTTCTTAATTTTATTCTTTAATTACTGAAATAGCTATAGGAAATGGTAAAATCTTTCACACTACGATTGTATTTATTGTCTACTGTTTCGTCAGGCCTTGGCAAAAGTTATATTAAAATGCTACAATTATTTGTAGCGTAAAAGATCTTTTGTTTCCAACAGTCTTTTGTCATTCACGCTTATGTGAAAATTGAAATTCACAGGAAGCTTTTGTATGAAATCATAATCGCAACATTGTAGTGGACGTATTAAATGCTAGTTTTAATTAAAATAATAATTGGGACTTGATTCATTCAAGATTTTTAATTAAGGCAGAAGTAAGTTTTTAGATTATTAAACATAATTATTGATATTTCCTTAACACAGTGGTTAATAATTATTTCATTAATGAAGTTGATTATATGTTAGAAATCCTAAGAGATAAGAAATAGATCACAAGCTTTACGCTTTGAATCTAAAGCATCTATAGGTTTGAATTTAATGCATACCTTTATAAACGATTCTTCTTATTTCATTGCTAGTAGCAATAATTAACAGTATAAATGCACCGTGAAAAGGATTCATTGTGATGCTGACGAGGATTCTAAAAGTGACACTTAGAACACTAAAAAGTGCTAGTCATTTCTGCTTAACTTTTAAGTAAAGGCAAGGGTCATAAGCCTTGTGCAAATTGTCTGGGGCTTCGACCTCTTGAAGCTTCACCTTGCCTAACCTCTACATAAAACCCATCCAAATAATGTCATTTGTAACCCGAACTCTCTAGACGAATTGGGTTCATTACGCATTAAAAAAAGTTTCAGCGTGATCAGTACTGAAAGCGTTCTTTGGGTTTAATCGAATATCTATTACTTTTATTAAACTACTTTACGGATTTTAATATGACTTATTTAGTTTCGATGCTTTGTATCATTCATGGTCGCCGGAAGATTTTCTGTGTACTTGATACGTTCTGATGTCAATGTCGGCTCGGGACACCGTCAGCTTTAAAATGATTTCTATCATGTAAGAAGTGCTTTTGTTTATGTATATTTTATCATTGTTTGCCAATTTAAAGTACAACTTAATATGAAAATGAAAAGAATAATTGACAATTACTTCGCTACTAGCTTACGTTCCAAAGTCCCAATTGATTCTATGAGAAAGCTCAAACATTTAAATATTTAAAAGATGTATTTTAGATTTGGAATAATTTGAAGAGAGATATTGAGAAGAGATTTAAAATTGTGAACTTATAAAACTTCATTATAATTTTTTTCTTTATATTTAAATCGACGTATAATAAATAACTATAAACATTAATAGTTTCAGCCAATAATTATTGATGACTAGCTGCTGCCCGCGACTACGTCTGCGTAGAATAGGCTGAAGGCGTAACATTCAGACAGAAAAACAGATATACATAAACTATGTATATAAATTATAATTTAGTTTATTATATAGCCTATGTCTTAGTCTGACGTATAAACTATATTGTGGTAAAGTTTTAAAATAAAATTTATAATTTTCATTAAAATCCATTCAGTAGTATGCGTGAAAGAGTAACAAACATCCATCCATGCATGCAAACTTTCGCCTTTAAAATATTAGTGAGGATGGTTGTTAAGTATTCTTAAATAAGTATTCTTAAATTTTCTAATTTTCCGCGCAATTTTAAATTTTTTTTCTTTCATAAGAACCTTCTACTGATAAATAAAACACAAAAAAAGTGAAGAGACTAAGAGAGATAGGGATTCATTTATATATATATATATATATATATATATATATATATATATATATATATATATATATATATATATATATATATATATATAGACTATTCCGGCGTGGTAGCGTTGATGCATTTTTTATTATTAATCAATGTAATCTAAAAGCATTGAAGATCGACAGGAATCCGTTTACGTAATGTGCTAATTGAAGCTAAAAATAATTGGATACATTTAGATAGATTTTTATTTCTTGGAAAATGTGACTTGATATTTTATGTACATGTATATTTTTTGTATACGTGTTGAATTTTTATTTTAAAACATCTAAGAAGCTTTCGATGAAATTTATATAACTTTTGTTGAGTTTAAATTTGTTCTTTAATCTTAAAAGTTATTCGTTCTACACAAAATGTAAATGAAATTTCGAAGCCACGCTTACCGTGAATTGTGTCTTGTTTATTATAATTCGTTACGTTCTCTCGCTTAGAGTAAAACTCTGGAACAATTTTTTTTTGTCTAAAAAGTTGATATAAAGTAACGGGATATTTTAGCATTATTTCCATTTTTCAAGTTTATTCCCAGCAAGGAATAAAATAATAAATAATAAAAACATAGAAGGGAGAATTTGATAACTTTTGTTAGAAAAATATGTATAGTACTTGGATATAATGATATTTTACTGAATAATTAATTTAGGTTATGCATTCAATTAATGAACCAATATAAGTAAAAGTTGTTGTTGTCTACTCATAATATACACTATAATTTATCAGAATTTAGTATTACAATATTTCAATTATTTTAATTGTTTATTTAGAGTTTTAAAATAATCCAGTTAATGTGCTTAGTGCCTTCTGGTTTTAAGGTTTTGAGGCGGCAATTAATGTATTGATCCTAAACTTTAGCGTTGTGGAATATCAGCGATTGCCTCTTAGAACTTAGAACTGATATTAATTTAATAACAAGCTACGGTATATGAGATTTAGCTGCGATTAATTTTCCCTTTAAGGCTTATGAGCTAAACATTTGGTTTTCTATAACCAAAGTGTAGACCCCTAAGTTTTTAATTATAATAATGACACAACAAATTAGGGAACAATTTTGCAGGTTTATCACACAATTGTTCCGTTTTATGAACTAAATTTGAAATGAAAATTATATGAAATATAATATAGAAACGCTATTTAAATATGATATAAATAAATGTATTATATCCAGTTAAATTAAAAAAGAAAGTGAATAAATAAATGAAAATGAAATGATTTTGGGTCCCGCAATGGCTGTTATTAAAGAATAAATCGATTGCTTATAAAGGATGATGCCGACTGAAAATGAGGTGCAAAAGATGTTCTTTTATACAATGGAATCATTTGGAATAATAAACATTATATGGTAAAGACCACAATTTCTCATTTAAATTTTATAATTATAACAGATTTTGTTTGATATTTTTTATATCTTGTGAAATCTAAATTAAAACTTAACAATGGGAGAAAAGTGAACAGGAAGAAATCTGCCGAGACTGGTTTTCATTAGGCACTTTTTAAAAGTTCGCATTTAGCTTAGACGAAGGCGGAGTGCCCTTTGAAAAGTCGCACGCTGCACACTGCTCTGTCGTAATAGGTCTGCTTAAGCTAATAAGGATGGGCTATTACAACACTAGTTCATAATGAGAAATGTCTTCATTATTACTTCATAATTGTATTACACTGTTTAATTATTAAGATGAATACTGTTTGTTTACATTAGCTCTGTGAGCTTCGGCGATGTTCTAAATATAATCTTTACTTTGCGGGGTAGGTGTTGGACCGTGAATTTCATCAAAATACTTGACTTGACTTTGAAAACTTTTATGCTTTAATATTTGTTGAATCTATTTCTTTTGATTGTCATTATTTTGTCGTATTCGCAGAAGTCATAGCTTGTTTTGTATCAGACCTCTGCGTACTACGTGATCAATTTTCACACTCCATCAAGGTAACAGAAAATAAGAGAAATTATTGTCGGGTCACATACGCAGCAGATATTTGCTTGCTTACTTGACTTGATGAAATATTTTACTTAACATTGACCTAAATACATAAGCCTGAATTATTGCTTTGTGCTCGCTGGAATGTCACCCTTTATAACAAATTAATGGAGCTCACACCGTACAGGGTAACAAAGAGGTCCGTTTAACTGAGCTTCAGCTTTTAAGCAATAAAAATGTTATAATTTAACATTTTCGTTTTACATTTCTTTCTTCTTGCAAACTGGCTTTGAATAGAAATTAAGTATATTGTAATGGAGAAATTAAGCTGCATTTATAATCGACTTTACAATTAAGTATATTTTTAGATATTTATTTCACTTATTTATTATTATGAGCTATACGTATGTAATATTTCATAATATGAATATTATATTCGAGCAGATACGCGTTAAACAAATTAAACATTTAACAGTGAATGGACAAACTTACCAAGATAAAATGCAAGATTAACAATAACACACGCTTACTACAAAGATTTTCTCAAATGGATGAATCTATAAGAAAATATACTTGAACACTCTACGTCACAAATCGTTTTAAGATGATCCTCCACGAGACTACAGTGATTATCTTTAAGATTCTAGTCTCAAAGTTTGGAAGCATAAACCAAAGTATCTTTATAATTTATGACGCTCCAAAGGACTTTCAATGCCTCGCATGGGACGGCCTGACTCTGCATTAAATTATAACTGTGGTGCCAACGATGGCGTTTACAGAGCTATTTTGAGTATTTTTTCGTTAAAAAATATTCTGAAAAATGGTGAGGCAGAAAATATTTAATAAAGATTGCATGATTATTTGTTTTGATTGATTCATTGATGTATAAGTATGAAAAATAAATAAAAAATTAGCGCTAAGGTTTATTTACCTCTCGCAATATTCACTACTAAATATATTCTTACTCGAAATTACGTGGGCAAAACGGTAGCAGTTTCATTTCCAAAACGATGCGCTCTGCGGCTTTGAAATTTTTTCGTGGCATTGACCCAAATGTCTAGGCACGGGACGGTTTGCTTTGTGCCGCCCACTGGAATGTCTGCGTTCATAATAAATTTACGAGTACTTCCACGGAATTTCCGCGACAAAGGCCAGTGAAGCATTTAATTGAGAAGCAAACAAATAAGCTCCCGCATATTTGTTGTAGACAGAGAAAGCTTGTGCTGTCCCCTTTTCGGTGAGCATTTTAGTCACAAGTGTTTCG